CAGCATTGCGAGCATACAGTTTTGCCGTGGGTAAATATGTATCAACTACATATTTGAAATCGGCCATATTAAATCGTCGAATCCATTCTGTTGAAGCCGCCAACAGTTGTGCCTCATCTCCTTCGCTCTGACTTGTTGCCTGAGCAGTTCTATCATTATTTGATCTATACACGAACAAAAACACAGTTTTATTTCACGTATTTTAAGAAAATACAAATATATACCTAGGTGTGGAAGAACGAGTTCGATTTTTTTGTAACTGTTTCACGTACTTGGCAAAATTTTCATGACCGTTCTCACTAGCAATTTCACACACTGTTTTATCATTATCCACACTTAGACTTAAATCGAATTGATATTGCTTGTGTAATTCATCAAAAACGTTTTGTTCACCTACATGTCCAATATGATGTAAAAAATAATATTTTCTATACGGTGGCTTTTGATTTAAAATTTCAGGACATTCTCGTATCAATTGTTTACATTTTACCCATTGATTTTCTTTAGCAAAATTTAAAAGCTCATCCATTTTCGTGAGCCGATCAATTCGTTGAAACATTGCCGGATGTTTTGTTGAATTTTGTTTTGCAATATCCAGTACGGTTAAATTAGTATCCTTTGTTTTTATTAAAAGACGAAACTGAAGATTATGACGTTGTAAGTCTAATAATCTATTTAATTGTTGAACATCACCGTGTTGTACGATATGATGCAATATAGACCAATTTTTACCATCAGGAATCACTGACAACCATTCAGGATGAGCTAATATGTCTTTATAAACGGCTTGGAAATCTTTATTGTCACTGGCACACTGATAAGCATTGAGAATAGGTTCAACAGTTTGTGCTCGACGAGTCATTATTCTAAAAGAAAAAGAAAACACTACTGTAGCTTTTCGTGCCAATTCCGATAGTAGATCGTTAAAAGGATCTGCTTGGAAGTCTCATATAGGTTATATATTTTAAACACCTAAAAAAGTGTGTACGATATGTAAAAATTTGCAGCTAAAAGTAAGAAGAATAACTTCGACCATCAGCCGTACGTTAATATTTACTCTAAAACGTTTAAGCAAAAGCGACACTTGAACGGACTCAGTCTTTCACAGTATTTTATCTTAAAAGCGTTGGCATGTCAAAACTTGACCTTCATAGTGCTTTTTCTGTAGTAACATAAAACAATATTTTCAACTTTATTTTTACATACAGAGAGGAAGATAGCATTTATTCTCTTTTTAGTTCTTTCACATATGCAAACCTTCAAAAAAGACGAAACGACAAATATTTACATATAGCCTAATCATCATTCATAAAAATGCCAGAGTAGGTTGTTTTTTTACCAGATAATGGCTCTTTTATATATCAGTTCAGCTAATAACAAATCTACATGCGCATGCTGGACTAAAACGGATGCAAATACTGAACTGCTAAATCATACTTGTGTCTATCGAGCAAATAGGCTACGGCGCATCTATCACTAGTAAGTGTTGGACGCCACTGTCGATCATCGAATCAATACGTTAGTGAAACTTCTTGTAACCAAAATCTTGACTTCTTGAATTTTTTCAGTAAGATCTTGATTCAAGATCTTGATAAGAAAATATAAGAATTCAAGAAATTTCTAGAAGTCAAGATCTGGAACATCTTGTAATTTCTTGACTTGTTGGTTGGAAATTCTTGAATCATCGTCTTATTTTACACTCTTGTATAAATATAAGTGCAAATTTTCCTAGAATAAGTTCGAATTTTTTTCCTTTTTAGCCTTAGTTATTTAAGGAAGAATCTGTTACTCTATATGGTCATATATCCAATGCCTGCGGCTGTCATAAATAAAGACAAAATGTAAAGAAAATTTATCATTCAAGCTCTTGCAACATCTTGTGTGACTTCACTCAAGGCATGAAATTTCTGTTCCCAAGATCCGGGGCAAGATCTTGAGTGACAGATTCAAGAATCCAAGATCTTGAAATTTCTGTTCCCAAGATCTTGGGTGAAGTAAGCCAAGATGTTTCAAGATAACAGTAAGAATTTTACAGTAGCTTTATATAAAGTCATTTAAATATTTATTTATATGTTTCGAAAATTTATATTCTCATTTTCAAGGTCTTGAAATAAAGCTGCTGTAAAAATCTTACTTTTACTTCGTTTATTAACCATTAATAACTCAAATGTTTCAAGATCTTGAGTGGAAGATTCAAGAATCCAAGTCCTTGTTTTCTTGATATTTTTTCACTGGTAGGCATGCACCGGTTACGGTTAACCGTAACCGGTCATAACCGTAACCGTAATAACCGGTCGAACGGTTAACCGTAACCGTAAATAATCGCTTCATAACAGCTTCGTGTATTGATTGTAGAAAAATAAAGAAGAATTTATTTGGAAAGAAAGAACAGTATACACAATCTTGTTTGGATTCTTTGAGCGAAAGTTGATTAAGATTATTTTGTATCCTGCTGCTAATGACACTGATTTCCGCGTGTACGTTAG